AGATTCACAATTTGAAAAGTATCTGGATGCTACAATGAGAAAGTCAAGTGACAGGACTTTGCAATAGACTAAATGATTCCGGATCAGCAGGAATCACATCAATTATTAGACTCAAACAAGCACAGATCAAAAATTGGGAACTGCTCAATTTATTAACTTGCAAATCCTTAAGTTATTTAATGAACAAAGGCAACTTTACACTCCAAGTAACCAGAATTGCTAAAGATATAGGAATAATGTTCCATAGTTGAAAATAGCAAGATATCTTTGAATGGAAAAAGGGAAATATTTGGATTGGAGAATATCTTACACCAGAAGAATATAAAAAAGCCATACCATCACAAAGAAACAATCAACTGATGTACCTGGATCAGCTGATCAATTAGGAAACCAAAAATATAAAAGACTGGCGAATGCTTCAACTCCTGCAAAGCACAAGCAAAGGACCTATATCAGATTGGTTCCAAATTATAACCAAAAATCTCTCAAGGGAATGACTAAAGCAACTCACAAGATCTGGGAGAGAAAATTTTATGAAATGGGGACCAGAATACTCCAAAATAGAAGTCAATCGAGACAAGCAAAAAAAATTGTGGATAGTGATGAGAAGTAAAAAAGATCTAGTAATATGGGGAAAATTAAGACAAGAAAAAGAGAGAAACGTTATGATAGTGGAGCACTTTATCAGTTACATTATCAACAATGACCAGGAAACTAATTTACAAAAATGCACAGGATGTTTGGAAGGTACAATACTGAATGGTAACTGCATCATAGAAAGAGGAATATAAGAGATATATACAGTACCATACCTCAATACAAGAAAGTCCACTAGAAGAACACGAGATTTAAAAATCTTTAATCCTAGGTTAGCACTCGAAAAAAGGATTAAAGAAGTGATTTACAGAGACCAAAGCCCATTCAAGATTCAAAATGACAGAATAAATCACGTGAATATTGAAACTTGGGAAGAATCTATTATCAAAGAAAATATTAAAGAAGGCGCATATCAAGATCATCTGACAGCTATACTTCAACGTAATCTTGAATTCAAAGAAAAGCTAATTTTCTATTCTGATGGATTACTTATTAATCATGGTAAAGAAGAAATGAAGATGAGTGCAGCTTGGATTCAGATTGGCAAAGATGGAATGGAAAGCAAGTTCCAAACAGAAGTAGACAAGTGGCCCTTATCAACATGAGCAGAATTGATAACAATTATAACAATTCTTCTGGTAGTTCTAATAGAAAGCATGGTAAAAATCTTTATTGACATTCAGATATGTAACACTAAGTGAAAATCTTTAGAAAAAGAAGTCCCAAGAAGGACACACAAGAGATGCCTTAAAGAAAAAAATTGGTTACTCTGGACATGCATAGTAGAACTAATAAAGAAAAAAAATATAGATCTAAAGCTCATAAAAGTCAAAGCATATTCAAATGATCCTTATAATAAAGAAGCAGATACCTTAGCTAAAGAAGCTCTAAAATTTCCACTTATTGAATGGAAATATCTCACCTCACGCAAAATTATTACTGAAATCAAGTGGCAAGGGATAACTCTAGATAATCCAATCAGGTAGTTTATTAAGAATATTAATAACAAGACAATAGTCTATCAGTGAACACAACAAAATAGAACTGAGAAAAAATGGAGTCAATAGATTTTAGAATATTAGGCTCATACATGGGACCTAGTATGGAAAAGGATTAAAGATGGGCACATGTGGAATAAATCTTTTAAACAATCACAACAAAGAAGCTTTCTAATCAAACTGACCAATAATGAGCTACCTACATCAAGTAAGTTGACTATAAGAAGACTAGACCTATACAAGCAAGTAAAATGTATTGCATATAGTCAATAAAACAAAACCATAGAACACTGCTAAAATGTTCAGCTTATAAGAACCAACTAAAAGAAGTATGGAATAAAGGAGTAAATAGTATCATCAGAAACTTTAAAGAGCTGCTAGAGGAAAGAAAGAGAGAGGCTGAGAAGAAAAATCCCAGATTAATTATCAACGACTGAGAAAAGATAGAAGAGTTTAACAAATGGATCTCTAAAGTAGTAGAACAGGTTTCTAAAACTAGCTAGGACATGCTAAGCTTCTGTACTGACCTTATAAGAACAGATATTATTTAAAAATGGCAGATCTAAAATATCAAGGTAAATGCATAAGAAGAATAGCAAGAAAATAGATAATAAAAATACAAAGAAGAGTCTGCAATCAAGTTCAAAAAGAAATCTGGAACAAGAGATGCAAAAAGGTAATTGAGTGGAAAAAAACACAAGGAATTGATAGAGAGAACAAGACAAGAAGACCTCTACATCTTTCAAGCCTGAAAACTATACTCATGAAGAAAAAAGAGCTACTACCTGAAGCAAGAAACCTTAAAGATGAAGGCCTCTGAGAAATTTTAACAAGAGAGTGAAATATGGAATGAAATGATTGGGTTTTAAGCTTTGTCAGAATATCGCAGAGTGATCTGCAGTAGTGACATGCAGGCAATGAAGTTAACAATTGGAAGGATTTTTATCTGAACTGTTAATGAAGCGATAAATTACTCCCAAAGTTGCACTTAGAGTTTTAATAATTCTTTAAAACAGAGACGAGTGAGTTAGGTAGAGTCTTAGCTTTAGCAATATATTTTTCAATATAAAGTATACACAGGTTTAATAAAGCACACATACCTAGCCTGACAGAGGATTTAAAAAAATATATATTCACTTATATTTTGATCTTGAATCTTTTTTCTAAGTATTTCAAATTCTTCTATCTCTTTTTGTTCTTGAACATTAGTATTGTAATTTTATTGCCCAATATTAATTTATTTTCTATTGATATGATTTCTATTAAAAGGATTTTTATATTACTTGGATTTAATTATATTAAGAAATTTATTATCGATATATTATTGATATAAATCTTCTTGTTTTTCTTTTCCTAGTTACTAGTGATAAGTTATGTATTGAATCAAAACTCATTTCTTGTGAAATAGTATTTTATTTATTTCTAGAATACTTGCAATAATACTATCGAGTATTATACAAGTTTTTGAAGTTGGTAACTTTTCTTCATTCTGAATAGTAGTTTGTTTTTACCTACTATTTATTATGTAACCTATAGTATATCTTGTTCATCATATTTTTTTGCAAGTCAGATTAGTATCAATAATATCCTTTTATCTTTTATCTATTATATATAGAATTTATTCAGCTTTGCTTATTATATATATAATAAAAAAAATAATAGAAGTGAATCATATAATATTGTCTTTGTTACTATATATGAGATAGAAAAATTGTTTAAATGTATTACTTTGTTATTTTGACAATTCACTATTTTAATTCATGTCTTGATCTTGTTTTGATTAAATATGTGTTGTTTATTTCTTTTATCTAGTATTATTTACTTGTTTACACTAATATTGTTATTGAATTAAAAATCCCTAATATTTTGTTAATGTTAATCATATTCGGTTAAGATATTGTGATTATTGATTTTGTTATATTTAGTTATTTTTGTTGTGTTTTTTTGATAGATCTTTGTTAAACTTGTTTTGACAACAGATTTACAGTATATACTATTATAGGCTAATCTGATAAGTCTGTTACTAATCTATAGTATCTCATATAACTCAAATAACTAACAATACTCATAATTGATACAATAAAGAGTACACTTCCTATAAAGAATATTTAGGGAAGATGGAGACATGATAATTGACTTGATCAAGAATAAGTGTCTCTTTATTTATATTTTATTTCTTTTATATAATACTAATTATTATTTCTATTCATAATACTTTTTTCCCGCAGATCCTTTTTTTCTTAAAAATTTCCTTTTTAGGCAATTTTGGGAAACAAAAAGAAAAGTGAACGGAAAGATAAATTCTCCTAGAAACTGATGGAGTCAATACATCCAGGGCAGACCCAACTATAATAAGAACACCCTGGCGAAAGGTAACACAAGATCACTATGCAAAGAAATCCATATGGAGACAACAAAGTTAAACCCAATAAACAAAGGAAAAGAGAAAGAAACCCACCCAGAAAACACTAGAAACGAACAACCAAGCAATCAGAATATCAGCCAGACCTCAACCATTGACACAAAAACTATTGGAAAAAACAAAATCAATCAGAAACAACCAACTTGGAGTGATGAAGTGGAAGGAACAATCACACAAGACTCTTAAACTATGAACAGTGACAAAAATAGAAATACTCAAGAAACAGAACAAAGTGAAGACTCATCCATCCCACTCACGGTGGCAGGAGACAGGAATGGGGTTCCCAACCTAGCAATCAACAAGTACAGTGATACAAAAACAACTATAAAACATCACCCCTCAGGAAAACAAATACAAATTCTTCTGGACAATAACTTGGAAGATATATATAGAACACACAATCCTACAAAGAGAGAATATACTTGGAACAGAGGGGGAAGTAGCAGCAGAATCGACCAAATATGGATGAGCCCACAGGTAATATGGCAATCAAGGAAGCCACTATCAAAGACCTCATCTTACCATCAATCTCAAGTGACCATGTTACAATGATAGCAGAAACAGAAGTATAGAGCCTTGACATGCCCAAACAGGCAAAATATCATAAACACAACTACAAATATAACTGGCAACTTGCCACAGCACGACAATGGAAGAAGTTCAGTGATCACATTGAGTATAACATACAAACAGGATGCTTAAGCCATTAGTCTTTAGACTACAGATAAAATCAATTCAGTGATATCATTTAGAAGGCAGCCAAAAAATACATTCCCAAAAAGAAATCTCATTGGAGAAAAAGATATCAAGTCAAAGATCTGGACAAGATTTCACTCATAATACAGCTACAGAAATCCCTCACATAAGTTAGACAACATCTGACAGATAAAAAAGAAGGAAAACTGTATCAGCCACTCCAGATCCCAGCAAACATACAAAGATCAGTTCCAGACTTGGTAATCACACTCAACAAACTAGCAACTGAATACTCTAACACATATCTTGAAGAATAGCCCAAAGAGATCTATGGAAGCATCAAGGCACATAAGACAGTTGCTAAAGCCATCGCACACAGAAGACAAAACAAGGCAATAAAAAGAAGAATTATAATAAGACAAGAGCAATACGAGAAGAATAAATGTGCCATGATCAAAAGTATCCTGGAAAGATCTAGAAGACAAATATAACTAAACAGGCTTATCTTCCAACAAGGAGAGAAAGTACAGATAGTCACAAAACCTGCAGAAATCAAAACCAAGGTAAAGAAACACTTTTACAACTGGACACCACATAGAAATATCCAAAATCTAGAGTGATATTCCAGGTGGCAATCAGAATACAGACCCAAATCACATATTAAGCAACATTAAAACAAAGGCATGTTGAGATTACAACAGAAAAACTTTTACAAGTAATCAAACAATGCAGTTTTAAATCACCTCCAGGTCCTAATCAGAAACATATCTAGTATACAAATATCTGAAAAACATAGCAAGAGAAGAACTAAAAGTGATCTTTAACATGATCATTTGACAAGGCATTATATCTAGAGAATGGGGCAGAGGACACATATAATCAATACCAAAGCTCAAGGGCTAGGCTCATAATCTAGACATGATCAGACCAATCATGCTACTGAATGCAGGAAGGAGAATATTCATCAAAATCATCATAGACAGATTAGCCAGATGTCTGACTCACAAAGAGATACTATCAAAATTAAACTGGACAGTACTTCTAGATAGCAGTACTCAAGACCCGATTTATATACTCAGCAGTATCATTGAACATGCAAAAGAAACTTAACAACAAGCCTGCATTCTAAGCCAAGACATGTTGAAAACATATGACTCTGTCAATATAGAGATGCTATAGCTGGCCCTCATAAGGATCAAGGTACCAGATACAATAATAACAATCTTGCTCAGCATATTTCAAGACTGACACAATGCAGTCATAACATGCCATGGCCTAACAGAGGAGTACCAGGTAAGAGATGGTATAGATCAAGGAGACACAATATCATTACTGCTATGGTACATTTTCTACAACCCACTTTTATCCATGATCAGTCAACAACACAAAAGATACACAATCAGCTCAAAAACTTGCATAGATCTTAAAAAAGGATGGGAAAAGAGGACTATGAATATAGCAGTCAATGCATATATGGATGACACAACATGGACAACAAACAATAGAACAAATCTATAAAGAATTATCCACACAGCAGAAGAATTCTATCATATCAATGACATCAAAATCAACCCAAACAAGTCTCAATTGATTATTATCAATGCTACAAAGGAAGACTTGGAATAAGGAGTACTGATGAACAATCAGAAAATACAAGGATATCCCTCAACACACCAGTCAGAATCTTAGGAATCTGGTATGATAGCTCAGGACGCAAAGACTATCATAAATTCTTAATAAAGCAGAAGGTAGCTAGCATACGTATACTAATTGGAATGAAAAAGATCATTGATAAACAAGCACAATACATAATCAACCATGTCTTAATGTTCAGTATAGAATATTTGTGCAATAACATAGTCTTGACCAGGCAAACCTGCAATTAGCTAATGAGTAAATTGGCAACAACTTTCAAATACAAGATAGGACTCGCAAACACAATACCTAATAGCATGCTATATAACAAACATAAATATAATATAATGCACATGTGGAATAGACAAGTACAGCTACATGCCAACAACTGGTGCACCAGAGTGAACCAAAACATCATTACGGAATACATAGCACGTCATCGTTTATAGACAGTACAAAACATGTTCTGGTTAACCGATGAAATATATAATCATATACAAGCTCCACTCTTAGAACCAGGGAGAAACCTCACACACACATAATTTAGATGCTGAGAACACATGGTTTCACATTTCACAAAGTAAAGAAGTTAGCTTTCAGACTATAAAAACAATAGCCACTACAATCAAGGAAATAATTGATCCAGAACTCTACGGTAGAATCTGCTTCAACTTAAAAAAACACAATGTCCTCTTCACAGGACAACTGCTCAATAGTAATAGAGAGAAACTGTTACACTGGTGCCAAATTATAAGAATCTATTAAAAATCAGTACCAGGGCCTACCTCAACATGGTTCTTCATATTACAACATAAACTGCAATCATGAATCCCCAACTAATAACAAGGGCAAATCAACTGCTTCCAGCAATGTATACCAACAATAAACATACACACAGTGAAGCCACATTGGATAGCAATGAAAAAGAACACTGAGCTAATCATTGGAAGAAAACAAAGAAAGGTAAACAACAACTCAACAGTATACAAACACTACACACAGGCACCTGGTGAATCTCCCCTAAGTGAAAGCATAGGTTGCAATATAAATCAATAGACACAGTTCAACTCCATATATACTTTTATAGCAAGCCGACAAAACATTGTAACCATTTCAGTACAATGTAGCAAAATCTTAACACAACCAAATATCCTAAAACAGGACAACATATTTAGAACTAGAGCTTCACTGAACTCAATTTCTACTACACTCACAGAACAGGATCACAGATCACTAAAACATGAAATAGAAGTACAAATACCAGCAGAAAACAAGACAACAGAACAGATTGGCAAAATACTAATCGCAACCCTCCTATCTTATAGAAATTAATCACAATCATGAGGCAAATACAAGATGAAATTAACTTCAAAATATATACAGATGGATCTATGTCACGCTATGGCAACCAATACTACATGGGCTTTGGATGAATAATAATAAACAGGGAAAACCAAGAATTTTACTTCCAAGGACAAATAGAAAACTTCCCTTCATCAACTCGAGTAGAACTGATGGCTATTCTAATAGCAATCAGTACACTGCCCTCATACAGCAGAGCAAACATTTACACAAATAGCCAGACAGCAATCAACAGTATTCAAAAAGTGATGAGGACAAACCACATATATAATTTGAAAAAACAAAAGAACCTAGGAATTCTCCAACCACTTAAGGACATTATCACAGGCAACCATCTGAAAATTGACCTCCTCAAAGTCAAAGCTCACATAGGTAACAAATACAATGAACAAGCAGACAGGTTAGCCAACATAGATATAAATCTGAGCATGGTATCAAAACACAAAACAATTGGTACCCATTCCACAAAAAACTCATAATTTACACTACTTCCCTAATGGGACAACAATATGCTGAAAGTTTCTATTAAAACTATGGTCAAAGAACTAACAAAGGCAACGCATCTGGCTTGATGGAGACTCTTGAACAGAACAAGAATTGAATTCAGTGATCAAATTATCAAACACATATACTGGCCCTCAACAATTTCAAACCTGCAACCAACTAGAATGAGTGAACAACAAACCAATGAAAGAGATCAATAACAAAGGAAGTTCAACCTCTGCCTATGGAATGAAGAACTCTTAACAAAAACCAAGTTATATTAGAGACTACCTGACCTATATAAAGATGACAAATACACAACCTATGGATCTAAAGAGACAAATACACATCCATTCATGTGCCAAAGCCAACGTCAAAAGACAGAAGCATACTTAAGGAACACAATCATTAACAAGGTCAGACAGTATAGCGAGAGGAAAGACACTGAAGAACAGATCAATAACTACCTAAGAAACAACCCCCTGAAGTACATTGAATATCTCAAATGCACAATTAAAGGAGCCATACTCAAAGAAACACACAGTCTAATAGCCAAATATGTGACAAACACTCAACTAAAACAAAAATGTATCAAAGAAATCAGACAAGAAATCAGTGAATACCTCTACAACACCTGGACTCAAAGATGTGAAGAATTTCAGAAATGGAAAATACAGTAAGGCATTATATGCAAAATCAAAAGAACAGCCAGATACAACAATCCACAGAGAAATATACAGCTCACTAAACTGGATAGAAACATAAAAGGTCAATACATTGACCTAATGAACAATTAAATAAGATAATACATAAAAAACATTACACACCCCTCCCATATCTTCACAATTTTATACAGCACTAACCAAGCCTTGGCTGGTTAGCTCCCATTAGGGTGGCAACAGGTCGCGAGGTGAGTCTTTTTCTATCAAACTAGTTTGGTTAACATAGGTAGTTTTAGCATAATCAATATGTACATTTCTACTTAATCCAAATAAAGTAAGGCTGAGCCAGTATTTTTTAAAAAAAAAAAAATTCTATTCATAATATGGGCAGTCTTTTATACATTCAACACTACTTTCTCGGCTTACACTGGTAGGTTATTTATATTTTTTTAGCTAACAATAGATAATTTACTTTACAATAAACTATGTTACTCTAAACTTTACTAAACTTTTCATACTTCATTATATACATATAGTTTTTTTATAAATATCCAGGCCTTAATCTATAGTTTTTTACCTCAAGGCATACAATTTTTCATATCAGATCTTTGATTTTTTAGATTCTAGACTATTACATATAAATTGCATTACCTATATGTTCTTAATAATATATATATGTGTTTGTATGACTTTGATAAGATGCTTAAATATTTATGAAGATAGGAATATATATTAGACTTTTTAGATCTTGAAAAGCTTTAATGTTCTTTTGAGTTTTAAGAAATTTGAGATTTGCTTTATTTATTAAGCAAATCTATTTTCTTTGATATTCCTTGTAGTGTTAAAAAAGGTATTAACCTGTATTGACCTAATTGCAAACTTTGTAAAGTTAATATTGCTCCTTTTTTCTAACTGTAAATTAGTTTATATTAACTTGTTTTTTTCTTTTTTTATAGAAAAAAAAAGCCAAAGTTATTGATATATATATAATATATATGTTTTTTAAACTATTTATTAATCTAAGTTTAGATACTCATTGGTAGACAAAACTCTTTCCTAAAAATCTCAAAATCAAAAAATTTCCTTATTAGACAAAAACATAAAATGAACTCTTCTTCCGCTATGAAGTAGTGTGCTCTAACAACATGACCTCTACAAGGCAACTGAGAAGCCTG